TCTCCCTCGTAAATAAAGGCATTATTATTTTTAATTTATTATTTATTTATTTATTTATAATGTGTTATAATTTTATGGAATTGTTTGTCCATCATTGGTTAAATATATACCTAGTAAACTATTAATGCGTGTACATCTATCAAAACAGATTTTTGGATCATTTGGAAAATAGTAAGATTTACACAACAAATTTGCACCTGTTTTTTTTACAGCTAAGAGAAACTACAGCAACAATCATTCAACATTAATATTTGAATATTGTTGGCAAACAATCAAAATTTCACCTAAAAGATTTCGAGATGGCATGACGAAGATGTTCTTATTTTGCGTAACGACGAACAAGAATGTTCAAAGATTGCCATTATTTACTTTAAAGCAATGAAATATTACCCGATAATATCACAAACATTACCCGACGTTAAATTAAATTATTTCCTAGAATACTTCAGTAATGTTATGACTATTTTTTCCTCGGAAATTAATCCAACCGACTTTAACAAAAAGAGACACCGATGTAACACGAAACTGTCAAAGTTGTATAGAACATTGCGATAACCTTGTTGGCCGGAGGGTAGTTTTGTGTCGGGTGGTTTTACATGTTGTTGGACAATGTTTTGTCCCTTGTCCACCCCCGCTACATCTCTGGAATGGCCGAGCTGTCCACAGACAAATATGTGGTGGCCCCCCCATTGTAGCTCACATCTGTGTTTACACTCTAGGGGTGCAAAATTCCAGTTTGAAACATTACAGGTGAAATATTAGAAGTGCTGTAAAAATAGTAAAGCCTTACGATGGGACTATTGCACTCCTTCAAAGACCTAACTTTAACCTCAAAATCCTCATTGCATTTCTTCAAGTCTTTACTAAAACCTATAAAGTCCCCACTTTACACTCTCAACCAACTTAATTGAGCGGAGCGAGCGAAGCGAGCGAAGCTCTTATACTACACTCCTGCTTTTTTATTACAAATACTCCTCCTGAACGGCTGAAGCGATCTGCATGAAATTTAACACAGTCATAGTAACCAACCATGGGAAGGTATAAATCTGAAACGGTACAAATCGGACCATAGGACTTTTCCCTACATGAATGCAAACTTTTGGAAATTTAACATGGGCCTTATGGGTTAATTGGTCGCCATGTCATTATTTGCGAGTAAACACTAAAAAGTAAACAAGAGCCTCAACATTAGTCAACAAATCTACCACATGATAAATACAGTACAAAAGAAAAAATTGGATAATACTAAAGAGCATATTATAGTATATTGTATGTAATACGAAATGATTAACAATCAGTTCTATATTGAGTGATTAAACTCCATGCCGTTTATATTTAATTGTAAAATGGTTCTGTTCTTTTTAACAACAATGAATAGTTAACTAATTAGGCCTAAGTTTATGTTGCTTGGAGAAGGAGAAGATAAAACGAGGTCATTAAAAAAACACTACAACATAATTATACCAACAAAAATCACACCGCCCTTGATTTGCAAGAAACTTTGTAAAAAATGTTCTTGTAGCTAAAAATACAAAATCGTTTTACGAAATGAAATCACAACCACGTGGTTTACAGGTAAGGTTTAAGACTAAATGGTGTAACTTAGACAATAAAATAGTTGTATTGATAAATTTTATTGCACAATAGGGAAATTTTGAAAGTGGTTGACGACAATTTCTTACTTTTAACTGCTAAAATAAAACTAGACCTAAGTTATAGGCCTATACTAAGTGAAGCTAACCCCAATCCCTCACAACAATAATACTGGTAAACAGTTATTGAGGTAATTGAATTGGTGAGTTTTATGAATGTTCAATGCAAATAAGTCTTCTGTACAAATAAATGATTCTTTTTTTAATAATGAAGAAAGAAGACATTGAAAAAAAATAAAGAAAAGCAAATTCTACATACAATGGGTAATAATAATATAATAATAATCGTTATTGCCTTTTAATAATACAGGTATTGCTTAGGCCTACCATGATTCATTTGCAGTATCGAAATTATTGAGCGGAGTGAAGCGAAGCTCTTATACTACACTCACTGCCTTTGTTTTACAAATACAGGTCAGGCTCCACCTGACAGGCTTAAGCGATCTGCAGGAAATTTGGCACAGTCATGTAACCAACCATATGGGAAGGTATAAATCTGAAATGGTAATATTCGGACCACAGGACTTAAACCAATAATAATGGTTGCCGGAATTAGGCTGATGCACCATATTGCGTTTGGAATCTGTAAATAACTTACAGCATTTTATGTGAGCAAGACGTGCAATTAATGTAGACTTTGAATATCTATCTGATTGGAACATGTTCAATTCCTATTTGCAGTCTACAAATAGGAATTCCACTAATGTGAACCAAATATAACACAATTCGTTGACTTGAACCCGACGTATCATTGACTTTGAATACTGCACATAGACATCCCATATAAGTAAAGCAGAAGTAGGCCTAAGCCTACCATTGACTTCGGATACTGCAATTAGGCATTTTATATGTGAACAAAATAAATGGAGCATTGATTTATTGAGGATACTGCAAGTAGACTATTCATTTACATGTACCATTGGGTTTGGATACTACAAGTAAACAATCCGTCTACGTGAACCATACGTACTATTGACTTTAGAATCTGTAAATAGGCATTCCATTTATGCGAACCAAATATATCATTGGCATTGGATACTGCAAGTAGACATTTAATTTATGAGAACCAGATGAAACATAGAATACGGTTCCTGCAAGTAGACGATTCATTCACTTAATCCTGACTTATGATTGACTTTGGATACCTCTGCAAATAGGCATTCTATTTAAAATGCAAAAAAATCATTGATATTGAATATGCTGGCTCCGCTCAATATTGCAAGCAGACAACTGCATTGTACACCTAGTTTTAACTTTTTACACTATAAAGCTAGAATATAACAGTCAATATTAATATCCTACTGTAAAACCTTTAATGCATGCTTCATGTTAGTGACGTTTTATATAATGTTTCTTCATTTTTTGTTCATTTTTAAGATCCAACGTTACCCATTGCTACAATATTGTACCAAAGGACAAGCAATTGTTCATAAATATAATTTTTGTTCAGTGAACACAGTTTTGAATGTTCTTGCAAAAATTGTAAAAACAAAAACTGGACAGAACTAACCTTAGTATGTCTTTAGCTTTAGGGATGTTAGATATGGGAGAGTAGGTTTAGTCAATGCAACACCGTACAGTATACAGTTTGGAAATAGAAATCAGTCGTTGATTGGTGGTATTGTGATAATCTTATACCCGATGAATCAGCTGTCCCGGACAATAACAAATAACTCATACACCAGAAAGTTGAGTTCAATAATGTAATACAATGGTAAACACAAACCAATGATAATGTTTGAATTGGAACTATATTTTTAGTAATATTAGAGTGAAAACCACCAGCCTATGTTTTACTTTTTACTTTTTTTTGTTTTTGTTTTTACTTTTTGGGTTATAAAGAACCATTTCAGCTCTGCAATGAATGTATTAAAACTGTAGTTTTCCAAAATATGGTGAAAATAGTTTTTACATCCCATACTTGTTGAATTTAGGTAGATGTATTTTACAAAGGACCTGTGTCAATTACACTAGGTTGATTGTGGAAGAGTCCAACATAGTCTTGGCCTCCCCTTTACACTCAGGAAACAGACCCAGGTCTTGTTTCACAACCAATAAAGTTTCCATTAGTTAAACGGGCAGTGAGAAGCCCGCATCCTGAAGGAGGAAATAAAAGGAACTGAAGAAGGAGAGGGGAAAGAAAGATAAATTATACGTAGTTAGTTGAGGGACTATGTGCTGTGGACTAAGACCCTGTCTTATGCAAGTTTTTTCCATTTAAATACAATGAAAACAGCTGTTTTCAATACATGCGTTGTGGGGCTAATATCTTTTATTCCCTAGGACAAAACAGAATAAGCTGGAGTCAAGAATATATGTTGTACAGTATTAGAAGAAGAAAATAGTCCCGATTATGACAATTTTATTATACTATTATTAATTATTTTGTCACGCTGCAGCAAAAGAGATGTTTGCAAGTGTTAGGGTGCTCTTTTTCTCCCTCAAGTGAAAAATACAATTTTCGAGCTAAAGAACAGACTTTAAATTTCAAAATAAGTCCTATAAATTTCCCAAAATATTCCAATCCGTAAAAGTATTATTGTACCAATATTAATATTGTTTTATTTTTATGTACGTGCTACATATTGTTAATTTAACAGTGTCGACACTTAGGCAATTTTGAGTCATACTGGACAGTTGGATCTTAATAATTTGAAAAATAACTGTAACAATTTAATAACAAATATGAAAACCATTTTATGAGTTTATATTTCAAACAAAGGACGAAATTTCGTGTTGCGAGTTCATTTAATATTTGCACAGAATAGCATAGTTCATCAGAGACCAAAATGGTGTTTACCACTCATTTCCTGAGGTTGGACCAAATATCTGGTCGAAAAGGTCGCACAGCCGAATCTACTGTAAAAGAATATGATAACGATGATAAATTTCAAACAAATACTCCTAACGTGAAATCTAGATTTACTCAACCCTTCCATAATGGCCATGTAATCATGATAAGAACAGTAGCCCACCACTGAGCCCCTCAATTGTCCCCCTGTATTTGCCCCCCCCCAACCATACAGCCCCACCACACCACAACATCAGAGTATGTCTGGACAAACATTGATTGTCAGAAAATTACAGACTACAGTCTTTGTTACCAGACAAGCTTTGGTCCGCCGTCTTTAATCGTATTATGTCTGTTGATCCTTTGCATCTATTGTATTTTAAAGGGTTCATCAGATTGAGAACTGAATTCATTTTTACGATTTACTAGTTTAAAGTTGTTTTATGTGCCTCAACAACCTCAGCTCTAGCCTAGAATAAAAACCAGGCCTAGAGGATCGTGGCATGATCACTTAGGCAAAATTTATTGTTGATTGGGAATTGAACCGTATGACTTACCTCGTACGCTACGGACAGCTGGTGTTTGTCGTGCTTCAACTGGTCGTAGCGACTTTTGTATTGCAACATGGATCGAACCGTCTCCTCCATCCTGAAACAAGTGACATGATTAGAAACATGGAACTCATTGAATTCCTAAGTGAATTTAACTGTGGACGTGGCTATTAAAGTAGTCTACATTTAAGGTCCGTGATCTTAATCACAATTTGTTCATGTAAAGTATTATAGGCACGATTGATAGAAAAATACCAAACTGGCACATAAAAACAACAACAAAAAATTGTTTCACTCGTTCGCATAATATTTATAACAATTTATGAATACAAACCAATTAATGTAGGATAAATCTGGTTTTGTATTGATTATTATATTAACGCATAGTAACAATTCAAATCATAAACAATTGCGTAGAACGCAGGCTTGTAGGCCTACGTTATCCTTATCAAGAATTGATAGATCTTTATTAAGAATAGATTTGTTGCTGTACAAGTATTGTTTGCTGTTGTTAAGTAGTAGGCCTATATCGTACATTTTGGCGAATTCCCTCACTTCTTCAAAGGTTTGCAGATTATAATCAAAACAATAAAATATTTCACTCAGAAGAAAACCGAAGTCCAGAAAGAAGCGATATACGTTTGATTGTAACCAATATAGTTCAAATATAGTCGATTTGCATATAGCAAATATATTTACGAATATAATATTGGTTCAGCAACTACAAAATATATTCAGAATGCTTCACGGTGTAAAAAAAAACAGTTTGTAAACTTTAGCAACTGACCCCATTTAGTTCAGTATTGACGAACAAACAAGTAAGCATTATAATGTAGCTATATATAAACAAGGATGGGTTTTAACGTCAAAACAAATTTCCCAAACAAAAGACAATCCCTCCAGTATCCTACTCAAAATTCCGTTTAGCTTCGCCCGCGATTCCGCTAATAAATGTTTTACCGTTGATTAATCCCAAACAAAGGAACCGGAACAAATACGTTCACAGTGAGTGTAGAATGAGGTGCGGTCTTGTGAAGCTGAGGGGATTGCTAGGGGAGGAGAGGAGAATATTTAGGAGTACAGGGTGAAAGAAGAAACATTGACAGAATATAGAGGAAGGATGAAAACAAAAAGAATTTGTAAGGTAAAATAAATGAAACTCTTTAAATTGTGTTCACACATTCAGGAGGTAAAATACTACATTAGCCGCGGATAAAAGATACAGTATCAATATTTTAATAACCTCTGCGAGTAGATTAATAATCTATCTATCTATCTATACTATTATAAAAAAGAGGTGGTTGCTGTATGTGTGTATGTGTGTATGGGAAAAGTAAACTCGAAAAATACTGGTCGGATTGGGCTGAAATTTGGCATGATGATAGCTCACATTCCCGATTAACATATAGGCATATTCTTATTTCAAAAATCCTTTCGGGCTCCGCCCCAGTGGCTCTGGAGTTTCCCATGTTAACCTTATGAGAAATGGAATTATTGAATCTTAACAGCTGTTTCAATTAAACAAGTTGGTTCTGTTCTATGATGTTCAATAGCATTAAAGTTACAAGGATTACCAACAGGGTGCAGCACTATTATTTCTTTTACATTTATGACAACAGCTAATTTGCAACCAAAAGGTGAGTGAGCGTAGCAAACGAACTTCAACCTGGAGGCGAGTTAGCGTAGCGAACGAGCTAACCTGAAGGCAAGTGAGCGCAGCGAACGAGCTCCAACCTAAAGGTGAGTGAGCGTAGCGAACGAGCTCCAACCTAAAGGTGAGTGAGCGTAGCGAACAAACTTCAACCAGGACGTGATTGAGCCATGCGAACGAGATAATCTTGAAAATTAAGAAGTTAAACGGGGCAAAGCCCGCGGGTTACAGCTAGTATTACATAAAATTAGATAGAAGAGATAAAGGAGATTTTAGTACCATAATTGTTTGAGTATAAAAATACTCTGATGATAATTTTGGATGATAATTTATTATAAAACCCCATACAAGTTTCAGAGAACTGACGGAATACAAAATGCAAATATAGGTGGATTGATAAAACTTTGCAAGGAGATTATCATCAGGCTATAATATATACTTCAGGCTAGAACTAGGGGTTGCGGCATTATTACTTAGATAATATCCTTTGGAGATTTGGCGGATTTGAACCCAGCACCTCTTGGACCGAAGTCCCGCACTCTAACCACTAGACTAGCACTCTCCCCACAAATTATTATAGTACGTATGAGGAAACCTGTCTCCTGAACCTTCTGTCTCGTCGAACTGGTCCGTGCCTTGAACCATCGGCCAGCTCGAGGTAGTCAGGTGACAGGTCTCACCTCACAGAGGATAGTGATTGGCGGGATTCGAACTCAGGACTTAGAAGCATGAATACCACACTCTAACCACAAACTCAGCACCTTCTAAGCATAATACAGTTCAATCAATGAAGTGAAAAAGCAAACCAATGTAATCCAGTGTGCAACAAAGATAGAGAATCATGTGTAGAGGGTACGAGAGGGGCTAATAACAAACAATAGTAGCCGATTAAGCAGCAGGCATTCGCGGCATGCTACTTTAATTGTGCAGCATTTAACTAGCGTTTAGCAAACACTTTTATCTTAGCCGCAGTCGTCATAGCAACCAGCGATACTAGGGGATTATGAGGGTTCCCACCCTCTGTGGTACATACTTGGCCGTAGAGGGGGGGGGGGGGGCAATATATACCATTGATACCATAATGAAATGAGATTAGTAGAATGTACACAAATGCTTTGTAAAAAGTGCGAGAGAAGGTACAGGGTTGAGAGTTTAAGAATGTCGTCCATACATTAAATTTGGAAATAGATATTTTAAATGGATTTAAGATACATCCAAACTTACATAAGTAACTATTAGGGGAATTAACAATTGAACCATTATTTGCCTTAACGTGATATTTGTGAACAATTTGGTTTAGTAAATTTTGATAATGTTTCGGATATTATTTATGATATTTCAGATAACTACACATAAATGTCAATGAAGTTTACAGAAAAAATAAACTATGTCAAATTTGCTCATTAAAATTCAACATAATCTTCTTTTAAATAGGAATTTTTATATTTAGATTAAACTTAACTTGACTAAACTCTAGAGAGAGTTTCGTTCTGCAAATATGCCAAATTAAACATTTAACATTGGACTGGAAAATTTCACCATTTTATATTAGAGTGGAGGATTATTTTTTATTTGTCTGGTCAGTAGAATAAATTGGGTCACAATTTAATTGAACCTAGGTATTTTTTATACTGTAAACATTGTAACCCTTAAACAGGGATTTTTTTAGCAATTTCTTACCATGCATCGTGACATGAGTACCAAAAATGTAAGTGCAATCAACTATGTAAAAACGTAAAACTACACCATAAATTACACATGCAAAATGAGAGATCCAAAATCGTCAAATCCGTTGACAAAGTTAAGCTGAGAAGATTTAAGGTTGAAATCCGCTTACGTCAACATCGCCGGCCACTTGTGAAACGGATAACTGAATAATCCTATAGTTGACGAGTTAAGCAGATTTTAAAATAATAAATTTAAATCTTTTGCGTCAAAAAGAACGATGCATTGTAACAAAAAATCATCATTTGAAAAAAGACCAAGTTTCAACGATACAATGTTTCGAATCATTTCAAAGCCTTTAAAATTCAACGATGTAACGATGCAAATGATCGGACATCAAACTTGTGACCAAACTTCACAACTTTCATTACTGATAATAGCAGTTTCGGAGACCAATAAGAATTGTGCGATTAAAACAGATATCAGCGGTTAAACCGTTCAAGTTACATTGCAAAGTAAATATTTCAACGTTCTGGACAAGATTATCACTCTATTAATACTAGATGATAGGAGGGTCGGTTGCCTTGATGATTGTTAAGCTTAATCGGGAGTTTGTGACGTTTAATTTTTAACTAGCTCGTCTCGTTAGTTTTCTTTTGTGATCAAATAATCGAGGGGAAAGTATAAAGGGTCAAGAAACACATTTTAGGGTAGTTTGAAACCAAATATACTATTAAGTCAATTTATTACAGATTAATTGTTAAAGAAAATAATTTCAAGAATCTAACACAAGAGGTAATAAACATAATAGTTCAAAAACCTTAAAATGAATAATTGTAAGTGACTTTTGACTATATAACAAACAGGGTGTCCCGTAAGTCCCCCCAATTATTAACAACTAACACAATATGAGTGAAGTTCTATTAAGTAGTTTTAAGTACAAGTTTTGAGTCACAAAATCAGTTAAAACGCAAAACAAACCGCAGACATATAACACGAATAATATCAAAAAGTGGTAAATTTTATCTTTAGGCATGTTATTCCAATAAATGAATCCTTTTTCTGACACATATCAGTGATAAATTGATATGTAACTGATATGTCTCGAGTACATTACCGTATAAAGCGTACGTGATATCTTGATATTGTAACACTGATATTGATATTTTGAGTAACGACAGATCGACAGGCGGGTTTTGTTTAGAGACGTGATGACGTTTTGACAATCTTTAAAAGTAAAATATTGGTTCTCCCTTTCAAGCTTGAAAAGAAAACATTGTCGTCACGATATGTACTATAATTTACATTCTGATGTAGTTATCAATTTTAAACTACTATGGGGATAATTTAGTTGATTTTTTTCATTAGTTAATAGTAAAGGATTTATCCTGTAGGAAGACACTATTTTCTATACATTATATCTCTACTACAGTATAATCCGTCCATCTGTCCACGATATTAATCACAAAAAGTTAGAACAATTCAGCAATCAACACATTTATATCAGCAATTAAAATTAATGGTTTTGATTTTTGGGACCTTAAAAACAAAACAAAGTCCTAGCCCTATAATTTTCGATAATTCTCATTCCTATTTAAAATGTAAAGCCTAATTAAATTTGTGTTGTGCGATAACGCTTGTAAAATACGTAGATGGGTTGTCTAATTTTAGGGTAAATTCAATTTGAATTGCTAACCAATAGCTTACAAATATAGCAAAAACATTCTCGGTCAAAACAGTGTTTAGTTAGTAAAATAACAAGGAACTAATATACCCTTAGC